TAGAGCTTGTGGGCTTACTCATTGTGGCTACTAGGGGTTAGAGCTTGTGGGCTTACTCATTGTGGTTACTAGGGGTTAGAGCTTGTGGGCTTACTCATTGCGGATACTAGGGGTTAGAGCTTGTGGGCTTACACATTGTGGCTACTAGGGGTTAGCTTGTGGGCTTACTCATTGTGGCTACTAGGGGTTAGAGCTTGTGGGCTTACTCATTGTGGCTACTAGGGGTTAGATCTTGTGGGCTTACTCATTGTGGCTACTAGGGGTTAGAGCTTGTGGGCTTACTCGTTGTGGCTACTAGGGGTTAGAGCTTGTGGGCTTACTCATTGTGGCTACTAGGGGTTAGAGCGTGTGGGCTTACACATTGTGGCTACTAGGGGTTAGAGCTTGTGGGCTTACTCATTGTGGCTACTAGGGGTTAGAGCTTGTGGGCTTACTCATTGTGGCTACTAGGGGTTAGAGCTTGTGGGCTTACTCATTGTGGCTACTAGGGGTTAGAGCTTGTGGGCATTACTCATTGTGGCTACTAGGGGTTAGAGCTTGTGGGCTTACTCATTGTGGCTACTAGGGGTTAACTTGTAGGCTTACTCATTGTGGCTACTAGGGGTTAGCTTGTGGGCTTACTCCTTGTGGTTACTAGGGGTTAGAGCTTGTGGGCTTACTCATTGTGGCTACTAGGGGTTAGAGCTTGTGGGCTTACTCATTGTGGCTACTAGGGGTTAGAGCTTGTGGGCTTACTCGTTGTGGCTACTAGGGGTAAGAGCTTGTGGGCTTACTCATTGTGGCTACTAGGGGTTAGAGCGTGTGGGCTTACACATTGTGGCTACTAGGGGTTAGAGCTTGTGGGCTTACTCATTGTGGCTACTAGGGGTTAGAGCTTGTGGGCTTACTCATTGTGGCTACTAGGGGTTAGAGCTTGTGGGCTTACTCATTGTGGCTACTAGGGGTTAGAGCTTGTGGGCTTACTCATTGTGGCTACTAGGGGTTAGAGCTTGTGGGCTTACTCATTGTGGCTACTAGGGGTTAGAGCTTGTGGGCATTACTCATTGTGGCTACTAGGGGTTAGAGCTTGTGGGCTTACTCATTGTGGCTACTAGGGGTTAGCTTGTAGGTTTACTCATTGTGGCTACTAGGGGTTAGCTTGTGGGCTTACTCCTTGTGGTTACTAGGGGTTAGAGCTTGTGGGCTTACTCATTGTGGCTACTAGGGGTTAGAGCTTGTGGGCTTACTCATTGTGGCTACTAGGGGTTAGAGCTTGTGGGCTTACTCGTTGTGGCTACTAGGGGTTAGAGCTTGTGGGCTTACTCATTGTGGCTACTAGGGGTTAGAGCGTGTGGGCTTACACATTGTGGCTACTAGGGGTTAGAGCTTGTGGGCTTACTCATTGTGGCTACTAGGGGTTAGAGCTTGTGGGCTTACTCATTGTGGCTACTAGGGGTTAGAGCTTGTGGGCTTACTCATTGTGGCTACTAGAGGTTAGAGCTTGTGGGCTTACTCATTGTGGCTACTAGGGGTTAGCTTGTGGGCTTACTCATTGTGGCTACTAGGGGTTAGAGCTTGTGGGCTTACTCATTGTGGCTACTAGGGGTTAGAGCTTGTGGGCTTACTCATTGTGGCTACTAGGGGTTAGAGCTTGTGGGCTTACTCATTGTGGCTACTAGGGGTTAGAGCTTGTGGGCTTACTCATTGTGGCTACTAGGGGTTAGAGCTTGTGGGCTTACTCAATGTGACTACTAGGGGTTAGAGCTCGTGGGCTTACTCATGTAGGCTACTAGGGGTTAGAGCTTGTGGGTTTACTCATTGTGGCTACTAGGGGTTAGAGCTTGTGGGTTTACTCATTGTGGCTTCTAGGGGTTAGAGCTTGTGGGCTTACTCCTTCTGGCTACTAGGGGTTAGAGCTTGTGGGCTTACTCAATGTGACTACTAGGGGATAGAGCTCGTGGGCTTACTCATGTAGGCTACTAGGGGTTAGAGCTTGTGGGTTTACTCATTGTGGCTACTAGGGGTTAGATCTCGTGGGCTTACTCATTGTGGCTACTAGGGGTTAGAGCTTGTGGGCTTACTCATTGTGACTACTAGGGGTTAGAGCTTGTGGGCTTACTCATTGTGGCTACTAGGGGTTAGCTTGTGGGCTTACTCCTTGTGGTTACTAGGGGTTAGAGCTTGTGGGCTTACTCATTGTGGCTACTAGGGGTTAGAGCTTGTGGGCTTACTCATTGTGGCTACTAGGGGTTAGAGCTTGTGGGCTTACTCGTTGTGGCTACTAGGGGTTAGAGCTTGTGGGCTTACTCATTGTGGCTACTAGGGGTTAGAGCGTGTGGGCTTACACATTGTGGCTACTAGGGGTTAGAGCTTGTGGGCTTACTCATTGTGGCTACTAGGGGTTAGAGCTTGTGGGCTTACTCATTGTGGCTACTAGGGGTTAGAGCTTGTGGGCTTACTCATTGTGGCTACTAGGGGTTAGAGCTTGTGGGCTTACTCATTGTGGCTACTAGGGGTTAGAGCTTGTGGGCTTACTCATTGTGGCTACTAGGGGTTAGAGCTTGTGGGCATTACTCATTGTGGCTACTAGGGGTTAGAGCTTGTGGGCTTACTCATTGTGGCTACTAGGGGTTAGCTTGTGGGCTTACTCATTGTGGCTACTAGGGGTTAGCTTGTGGGCTTACTCCTTGTGGTTACTAGGGGTTAGAGCTTGTGGGCTTACTCATTGTGGCTACTAGGGGTTAGAGCTTGTGGGCTTACTCGTTGTGGCTACTAGGGGTTAGAGCTTGTGGGCTTACTCATTGTGGCTACTAGGGGTTAGAGCGTGTGGGCTTACACATTGTGGCTACTAGGGGTTAGAGCTTGTGGGCTTACTCATTGTGGCTACTAGGGGTTAGAGCTTGTGGGCTTACTCATTGTGGCTACTAGGGGTTAGAGCTTGTGGGCTTACTCATTGTGGCTACTAGGGGTTAGAGCTTGTGGGCTTACTCATTGTGGCTACTAGGGGTTAGCTTGTGGGCTTACTCATTGTGGCTACTAGGGGTTAGAGCTTGTGGGCTTACTCATTGTGGCTACTAGGGGTTAGAGCTTGTGGGCTTACTCATTGTGGCTACTAGGGGTTATAGCTTGTGGGCTTACTCATTGTGGCTACTAGGGGTTAGAGCTTGTGGGCTTACTCATTGTGGCTACCAGGGGTTAGAGCTTGTGGGCTTACTCAATGTGACTACTAGGGGTTAGAGCTCGTGGGCTTACTCATGTAGGCTACTAGGGGTTAGAGCTTGTGGGTTTACTCATTGTGGCTACTAGGGGTTAGATCTCGTGGGCTTACTCATTGTGGCTGCTAGGGGTTAGAGCTTGTGGGCTTACTCATTGTGACTACTAGGGGTTAGAGCTTGTGGGCTTACTCATTGTGGCTACTAGGAGTTAGAGCTTGTGGGCTTACTCATTGTGGCTTCTAGGGGTTAGAGCTTGTGGGCTTACTCCTTCTGGCTACTAGGGGTTAGAGCTTGTGGGCTTACTCAATGTGACTACTAGGGGATAGAGCTCGTGGGCTTACTCATGTAGGCTACTAGGGGTTAGAGCTTGTGGGTTTACTCATTGTAGCTACTAGGGGTTAGATCTCCTGGGCTTACTCATTGTGGCTACTAGGGGTTAGAGCTTGTGGGCTTACTCATTGTGACTACTAGGGGTTAGAGCTTGTGGGCTTACTCATTGTGGCTACTAGGGGTTAGAGCTTGTGGGCTTACTCATTGTGGCTACTAGGGGTTAGAGCTTGTGGGCTTACTCATTGTGGCTACTAGGGGTTAGAGCTTGTGGGCTTACTCATTGTGGTTACTAGGGGTAGCTTGTGGGCTTACTCATTGTGGCTACTAGGGGTTAGAGCTTGTGGGCTTACTCATTGTGGCTACTAGGGGTTAGAGCTTGTGGGCTTACTCATTGTGGCTACTAGGGGTTAGAGCTTGTGGGCTTACTCATTGTGGCTACTAGGGGTTAGAGCTTGTGGGCTTACTCATTGTGGCTACTAGGGGTTAGAGCTTGTGGGCTTACTCATTGTGGCTACTAGGGGTTAGAGCTTGTGGGCTTACAAATTGTGGCTACTAGGGGTTAGAGCTTGTGGGCTTACTCATTGTGGCTACTAGGGGTTAGAGCTTGTGGGCTTACTCATTGTGGTTACTAGGGGTAGCTTGTGGGCTTACTCATTGTGGCTACTAGGGGTTAGAGCTTGTGGGCTTACTCATTGTGGCTACTAGGGGTTAGAGCTTATGGGCTTACTCATTGTGGCTACTAGGGGTTAGAGCTTGTGGGCTTACTCATTGTGGCTACTAGGGGTTAGAGCTTGTGGGCTTACAAATTGTGGCTACTAGGGGTTAGAGCTTGTGGGCTTACTCATTGTGGCTGCTAGGGGTTAGCTTGTGGGCTTATTCATTGTGGCTACTAGGGGTAGCTTGTGGGCTTACTCATTGTGGCTACTAGGGGTTAGAGCTTGTGGGCTTACAAATTGTGACTACTAGGGGTTAGAGCTTGTGAGCTTACTCATTGTGGCTACTAGGGGTTAGAGCTTGTGGGCTTACTCATTGTGGCTACTGGGGGTTAGAGCTTGTGGGCTTACTCATTGTGGCTACTAGGGGTTAGCTTGTGGGCTTACTCATTGTGGCTACTAGGGGTTAGAGCTTGTGGGCTTACTCATTGTGGCTACTAGAGGTTAGAGCTTGTGGGCTTACTCATTGTGGCTACTAGAGGTTAGCTTGTGGGCTTACTCATTGTGGCTACTAGGGGTTAGAGCTTGTGGGCTTACTCATTGTGGCTACTAGGGGGTTAGAGCTTGTGGGCTTACTCATTGTGGCTACTAGAGGTTAGAGCTTGTGGGCTTACTCATTGTGGCTACTAGGGGTTAGAACTCGTGGGCTTACCAACACCACGTGACTCAGACAAGTGCTACGCAGTGCGGGAAAGAGGCGCGGACGGAAGTGGTGAATAATAAAAAAAAAATGTGGGCGGGCCACGTGCGGACTCGCCGCGCTCACCTCCTGCTGCTGTGCGGCCCGGTTCCTAACAGGACACGGACCGGTTCGTGGCCCGGGGGTTGGGGACCACTGGTCTCTATACAACGGGGCATGGCTGCCCCTGCCGGGCCTCGTGTCTCCGTGGCAGCCTCAGCCGTGTGGAACGCGGCCATCATCACCATCATCATCAATCCCTGCTGCTGCTGCTGATGCACATTCACAACAGCAGCAGCAGCGTTCGATCTGAGGTGTAGTGGTAGCTGTTGCAACTACTACACGTGTAGTGGTAGCTGCACTGGTAGTGGTAGCTGCACGTGTAGTAGTAGCTGTTGCTACTACTACACGTGTAGTGGTAGCTGCACGCGTAGTGGTAGCTATTGCTTCTACTATACGTGTGTTGGTAGCTGCACTGGCTGCACTGGTAGTGGTAGCTGCACGCACGTGTAGTGGTAGCTGTTGCTACCACTACACGTGTAGTGGTAGCTGCACGTGTAGTGGTAGCTGTTGCTACTACTACACGTCTAGTGGTAGCTGCACGTGTAGTAGTAGCTGTTGCTACCACTACACGTGTAGTGATAGCTGCATGTGTAGTGGTAGCTGTTGCTACCACTACACGTCTAGTGGTAGCTGCACGTGTAGTAGTAGCTGTTGCTACTACTACACGTGTAGTGAGATAATCCGGCACTGCCTCCCCTCGTTCGAGAGACACTGACATTGGCTCCGCGCCTCAACAGTCGTTCGTGCAATTACCCCTAAGTCTGTGAATTATCGTGCACGTTATAAATCGCATTATTATTACGAGCAATCACATGCTTGAGCAGTCGAACATTTATTTAGTCTTGTTCAATGGAATTAGCCACAAGTTTTGTTGTTGTTGTTGCCAGACTCGTAACATTCGCGAGACATCGGCTGCGACGTAGCCCCAGCGGTCGCGCGCGTTCGCGATTTTGTTGCAGAGGTTCGCGGTTCCTGTGCAGTTGGCCGGTCTCATGATTAAAGCTACATGTTACTTTAAAAAAAAAGTATTTATAGCGGACAAAAACAATCGTACTACGCGCCATCGGCTTGTGCGGTGGACGCTACCCCCTGGCATTCGTTCGCAAGAGCAGGCCAGCGCGTGTGAGCGTGTGTCAGAGTTTAACGGGGTACGTGACAACCTTTGGCCAATTTGTGAAACTTGGCCAATTTGAAAACCACCGCGAATGACTCGATTGAAATCTACCATACACAGCGACCATCGCCACCCACCCCCTTCCAGCACCCACCACCGTGCGGACTTGCCGAGGAATCCTCCTGGACAACGAGTCGCGAGACTTGGTAGAGGGCTTTCGTGGCCAAACAAGCATAGTGCTGTAGGAGAAGGAACACTGATACATTATTGCACGGTTCAGTTGTTTGGTTTCGTCGAGAGAGGCACTTGTGCACATCTGGTTTTATTTCTTACCGCGTTTAAAATTATTGACCCCGTGACCCCGAGCTATGCTCGTGCATACTGTGATGAGTTAATGTCGGCTGCTTTGGGAATTAAATAGTTTTAAATGTCGCAGCGAAAGTACAAATTTGCTGTGGATCCCTATTTTACGAGCCAACGTTTAAAATTGTGTATTATTTTTATGCACTGTAATTATGTCCGTATGCATTGGTGTACATATACCGCGTGTATGTAATGCAGAATGTGGGTTCGTGCATGTGGTGGGAGACGATTAACTATTTGAATGTACAGTACGTGTGTACGAGTGCATTTTGTTTACAGTGTAAAAGTGTGTTGTGCCGCAGTGTTTCTACGTGTTCCCTGTGTCTTTATGCATGGCCAGCCCACGCGTGCTTATGTCTATAATCGGCCGTGACGTGACCTGCCGCTTGTTGCAGAGGTTCGCGGTTCGAGTCTAGCAGCTGCCCTGGTCAACACTGTGGTGTGCGATGATCGCTGTCGCACTACACGCCGTCTGCTTCGCTCACGGCGGACGCTAAACATCCCCTGACATCATTCGCAAGAGGAGCACGGTTGGCTACGCACGGTCCAACATGCAAATTCGAACATCGCACTGCAAACTATTCAACCGGGATTATACGCAGAAATCATCGCCCCCTACTGGCAGACTGTTGCCTCAGGTCATTCTCAGGCACTCATCTTGGTTCAACAAAATAAACGTGAAACTTGTTGAGGTGAATTCACTGCGGTGATGATGATGATATATTTATATGGATAAATATGCAAATAGGGATACTTTAAAAAAGGAGCAATATACCCCTTATGTATTTGTATATTTGGGGATGGAGCGGTCATGGGGGTTGTTTGGCCATACTTCACTACACTGGTCAGTGCAGGATGATGAAGCGGGGAGGCCTAGGACTGGGCGCCATGGTGAGATGTTAACTACCTCGCCTGGTATACAGGAGGGCGTGGGTTCGATCCAGACCCTGACGTCTGCTGCTGCTGTATATTTGGAGTTTGTATATTCTCTCTCCCCGTGGTCGTGTGGATTTTTCTCCGGGTCCTCCGCTGTTTCCCCCCACATTTAGAATCAACGTATTTGGCTGTTATAAATTCACACGTGACAAGCCACTTCGTTGAGCTGTCATTTGTGGCCAGGTCGCTTCTGAGAAAGAGCTACATGGCTCACTGGACCTTACCTGGTCAAAGAAAAAGTTGAGGTTCAGGTATCGCTCACCTCTGGCTCTAGCCGTGGCTCGGAATCAAATAGGGTTCACCAGGGTTTGTAGTCCAAAGCGCCAGCTACCGCTCCAGGGCTCCTCCACAAACCAACTCACCTCGTATAAATTATCTGCAGTTCTTCAGCTGCATTATCGCAGGGCCGTGTGGTGCTGCGACAGGCTTGTTCACGAGCGGGCGGTTTTCACATTCCCCACTACAGGTGCAGGCAATAGAAGCCGTGTAATTTAAGATGGGGCCAATGCAGCTGTGGAGCTGCTTTAACATTATTGGCCCCATCTGGAAGAGCGGAATTTACAAATTTACACGCCGACCCAGCCCCCTGTGGCCCCAACCCTTTATGCCTATACCTGCCTCCACGGGGCAGTGTGGATTGATGGCAGCTTCCAGACACGGCCCGGCTTGAGTGTTGACAGTGAGAATACCTCATCGAGGCTGTGCCGTCTGACAGCCTCCCTCGTCGTGCACGTGTCGTGCTATTGCACTCCAGATGGGTGTACCGTACAGGTGTACCGTACAGGTGTACCGTACAGGTGTACCGTACAGGTGTGCCGGCAGGTAAGACATGCCTCCGGTGGACTCCGGCCTTGTCTGTATGCCACCTGCACGAAACGTGCAACGCAAATAGTCCACGAGTCCTGACCGGGCATCTCGGTTGTCAGTACCACGTGAGGGTGGCATAGGTTTAGTGGTTCTAATCTCTTAATTGCAGCCAATAAGAGTGAATGACATGATAACCATTTGACATGAGTGGGATTTTCAAATAATTGTGGCCATACAACCCAACCTCTGGACGACACAGTGAGCCACCGTAGTCTGGGCTCCTTCAACGAATGAGGAGGATTAGCAAAACGACACGAACGAACGAACTTCCTGCTGAAGCCCCCTCGTCGTGGCCAGCAGACCTCGACATTGGCACAAATTTACGCAATACGCCAACATAGAATAGAATAGAATCAAGAAATTCACTCGTATTGCCCAAAAAATAAATCGACATGGCTATCAATGTTGCTGCCTTAGGTGGCACCAATATCTGCTCCAGCTCATGGGCTAAAGAGCCGAACCATGACCTGGTCGAGCATCCTATAACACCTGTTATGCATGGTGGTCTCCCATACAAGCGCTGTCCATGCTCAACCCTGCTTAGCTTCTGATAACGTAATGATTTGGTTGTAGGCATCTTGTAACTCATCCGTTTTTATTGTATTAGTTTGACATTTCTTATGCCCAACGTTGGTTTAGCTTAATACTGTTGGATCTCAGTATGGCTTTTCTGGATAAATGAATAACACCCACGTACTTTATGCTGCTGACACAGAGAATAAAGCAATAAGCTCTTGGGCAGGTGGATTGTCACATAGCAGGACCATGAGAGATGGCAAAGGATTTGGGAGACCTTCATCCAGCAGTGGATCGACCATGGCTGCCAGATTTTGAGTCATCCCCTTGCATCGGTCACCGAGGTTGTTTGAGCGTACTTCTCCACATGCTGGTTAGTGCAGGTTGGTGAATCAGATAGTGCATGATGATGAATCGTTACTACACCCTGTACTATATTGGTCTGTCTATATTCCTTTGAACATTACCCAGGTCTAACTTACAGCACAGATGTATCATCCCAATGGGCTCTCGCTTGGCTTGAATAAATAAATGAAGACCTCCCCGTACCGTGTCGGTCACGGGGCTTGTTTGGCTGTACTTGGCACTCGCGGGATGAAGAGGGATTTTAAGGTTCTCACGATTAATTATCGATTAGTTATCGTTCGCCACTGACGTTAGTTGTGGCCGGGAATCGAACTCAGGACGCCCGGTTCACCGCGCAGTGCTGTAACCACTGCGCCACGCCAACCACTCCACAGGAAAACGGCAGCGTACGTGAGAGAATACATGTACAAGAGCGTTTGGGTCTGGGGCTTTTTATACGGCGATGTCGGTCTGGACCATGGCGGCGTTTGAGCACTAGGTGTCACTGCAGCAGTAGACAGAAACTGGACCGAGCGTTGTAGCCGAATTTCGCCTTCAACAGGGGTGCTGTTGGAGCAGGGCTCAGCAACCTGCGGCTCCGGGGCTCCATGCGGCTCATTAAGGACTGCTGCTTCGTGACATCATTGATTAAGGACCACCGTTGCGTATTCACATTGCATTTCGGCTCTTGAAATAGAGGGGTGGTTTTTTTTTAAGCGAATTCGAACAAAAATGGCTCTTCTTATTTTGAATGCTGACTCCTACCTGGGAGTTAATGGTCAGCACGAACAACAATGGGCTGTCACAGGCGCAATAGGCCGGAGGAGCTGTCTGCGGTCGGCTGGTCGCCCAGGCTGAAACTTGCTGAGCCCCTGAAACCTGACGAGATGGGGCACATTCCAGGCGATATGATTCATAGGTCGCGAAAATGAACGAACGAATGAACAAATTTCAGCAACGAATACCAAAATATGCTCGGTGCGTGCAGGTACAGGCGTGGCATCGTCGCCACCACGGTGAAACTGACATCAATAGGTGCGGCTCGTCCCGGAGTAGAGACAGCGTCGGGCGTGACTCGCCCGGCCCAAGCCTCACCGGTTTAATCCCTCATCCTGGCCCTAGGCTCTGCGCTTACCACAAGCACAACATCAAATGGCGCAAAAGTATCGAGCACGGCCAGACAGCCAGCCAGCAATACAGACGGACAAACCTTTACAGACAAACCTAACAGAAAGACAGTCAACCTGAACGCAGGACAGCCAATTTCGCGAACCAGACAAGACAATCAGAACTGCCAGCCAGAGAGACAGCTGGATGGAGAGAAACAACGAGATGGCGGGCAGCTGGTTCGCCAGCCGGTTAGTCAGCCAGAAGTTTGTGTAATTGTATTTTCATAGAATGATGGTGGCCATTGTGAAACCGGGTCATTGCCATGAATAAGTCATCCTTCCCAGGCGAATCCGAACAGAGAGGATTCTTGTAAACAAACAGCATGCGGCTCAGATCCCGCTCTCCAGCCATGCTGCCCCACACATCATCAACAACAGATGAGAGAGCTGGCTGGCCGAGCAGCCACCCGGCCGACCAGCTCTCCTTACGTTGTTGACGTGTGGGGAGGTGTGGCTGTAAAATTGTGCAATTGTACTGTGCAGAGAGATAACCATTGTACAGCTGTGTCAAGGTCAGAACGTGCGACATGAATAAGTAATAATTCCAGGCAAGAGCCGAACAGATGCGATTCTTGGAAGCAAGTTGCGTGTGGCTTAGACGCTGTACACCATGTACGGGTTGTCACCTGTTCCTGGTTTTTCCAGGATCGTCCTGTTATTGAGACAGCTGCTGTCCCGGGATATCTGAAAGTCTTCCCGGAACATTAAAACTCCCGGTTTTTTTTGTCGGTTGTGTAATAAAAATAGTAATGCACCGCTCACAACGTTGCATTTACACGACACCTAAGTTCTCCCCCTATTCTGCCTTTATCAGACACCCTTCTTCCCGCGACGTGTGCCGCTTATTTTGTACCTCGGAGGTGGCAATCCCTACGCTGCGCCGGGATCTCCAGCGGGAGCCTCTGAGGTTTCCTGTTCACTTCCTAACTCAGCGTGGCGTCACTTGGGTGGAGAAGCGCCGTTGGCACGGTTGGCATGGCTGGCACGGTTGGCACGGTTGGCACGGTTGGCATGGTAGGCATGGTTGGCACGGTTGGCACGGTTGGCATGGCTGGCACGGTTGGCACGGTTGGCATGGTAGGCATGGTTGGCACGGTTGGCACGGTTGGCATGGTTGGCATGGTTGGCACGGTTGGCACGGTTGGCACGGTTGGCATGGTTGGCACGGTTGCCATAGTTGGCATGGTTGGCACGGTTGGCACGGTAGGCATGGTTGGCATGGCTGGCACGGTTGGCATGGCTGGCACGGTTGGCACGGTTGGCATGGTTGGCACGGTTGGCATGGTTGGCATGGTTGGCACGGTTGGCATGGTTGGCACGGTTGGCACGGTTGGCATGGTTGGCACGGTTGGCACGGTTGGCATAGTTGGCACGGTTGGCACGGTTGGCACGGTTGGCATGGTTGGCATGGCTGGCACGGTTGGCACGGTTGGCACGGTTGGCACGGTTGCCATAGTTGGCATGGTTGGAACGGTTGGCACGGTTGGCATGGTTGGCATGGTTGGCACGGTTGGCATGGTTGGCATGGTTGGCATGGTTGGCACGGTTGGCATGGTTGGCACGGTTGGCACGGTTGCCATAGTTGGCATGGTTGGCACGGTTGCCATAGTTGGCATGGTTGGCATGGTTGGCACGGTTGCCATAGTTGGCATGGTTGCCATAGTTGGCATGGTTGCCATAGTTGGCATGGTTGGCAT